ATGAATCTGTTGGAGACAAGGCAGGGAAGTGCATCAACTTATAGGCACAAGGAAGGACTGTGAATAGAACTCCAGCAGCGGAGGAATTAAGACCAACAATGAATAAACATGGCCTCATGAAACTAAAAGGCTTCTCTACATCAATCAAGTGAAGAGGTAGCCTCCAGAATGGGAAAAGATCTTTATCAGCTATACATCTGACAGAGGGTTAATGTCTAGAATATACAAAGAACTAAAAAACCTAAACACCAAGAAAACAATCCAATTTAAAAATGGGGCATATAGGGCTGGAGAGATGCCTCAGAGGTTAAAAGCACTGGCTGCTCTTGCAGAGAACCCGGGTTCAATTCCCAGCACCCACATGGCAGCTAACAACCGTCAGTAACTCCAGTTCCAGGGGATCCAATGCCCTCTTCTGACCTCCACGGACACTGCCTGCATGGGTGCACCTACCTACATGCAAGCAATATATTCATACATGTAAAATTTAAAAAAAAAAAATTTTTAAGTGGGGCATGTAAATAAACAAAGAATTCTTTTAAAAAGAAATGCAAATGGCTGAGAAATATTTTTAATATACTCAATATCCTTAGCCATCAGAGAAATGCAAATTAAAACTACTTTGACATTTCATCTTACTCCAGTCAGAACAGGTTTGTTTGGTTTTGTTTTGTTTTTTTTTAATGACAAATGCTGATGTGGATGTGAGGAAAGAGGAACACTTACTCACTGCTGGTAGGAGTGCAAACTGAAGCCGTCACTATGAAAATCAGTGTGGAGTTTCCTTAAAAAGCTAAACATAGATCCACCACATGATCCAGCTATATCGCCTCTGGGCATAGACCCCAAAGATTCCAGATTCTCCTACAGATATACCTGCTCATCTATGTTCACTGCTGCTCTGTTCACAATAACTAGGAAATGGAAACAGCCTAGATGTCCATCAACTGATGAACAGATAATGAAAATGTGCTACATTTACACAATGGAAAGAAAAAAGAAATCATGAAATTCACAGGTAATTGGAACAGATGGAGCTGAAAATAGTCATTCTGAGGCAACCCAGATCCAGAAAGACAAACACCGCATATTCGCTCCCATATCTGGGTGCTAGCTTTGAATCTTTGGGGTGTGTGTGTGTGTGTGTGTGTGTGTGTGTGTGTGTGTGTTTGAATTGAAGTAACAGTAGAAGTCAAGACAGTAGTAAGGAGCCATGGGGGGAGGGGACTTCAAGGAAGGGGGCATACAGCTCAGATGGTATGAAGGGGTAAATGGGAGTAATGACACAGGAGGGTTAATCGGGGATACTGGAAGTCAGGGTAGAAAACAGAGTATTGGGAGAGATAACTAACATTAAAGGTCTTTAGAAAAAAACGTATGGAAACATATGTTTCTTCTACTGTAGAAGCTTCCTAAAATATTATGCTTCTTCCAAACACCATAGGCTATCAAATAAAAAACCCAATGCTAGATGTGAGGTACCCCTTTTCAAGTTGTTGGCCAGTAGGATCTCATAGACCCCCCCCCAAACATTATAGGTCATATAGTAAGAGACTAAGGCATACTTAGCTCTAAATGAGGCATCTATACCACACCCCTTCCTCCCAAGGTTCAGAGATCATCACAGAAGAAGCAGAAAGACTGCAAGAGCCAGAGGTGGTGGGTGACTGCAGTGAAAGTGTCTTCTAGGCAGGACAGGACTGCTGCACACATGAACTCACAGCCACTGTGACTGCATGCATAAGACCTGCACAAAATCAAGTCAAAATCCAAGCATAAATGGGGGTGGGGGGGAGTCACAAAGTCACACCCTTAGCTGAGGAGTTTTTGGCAACTGAAAGCTGCTGGAAAAGGGGCAGTCAGTTTTCTTTAGGGATGCAGCCACTGAGAGGGTACCCATGCTCCAGCAGATGGCCCTACGCCCACACACATACTCAGAAAACTCGGGGGGGGGCACCAAGAGCCAGCAGGCATGGTGGCATACACCTATTAAAGGAAGGCAGAGGAAGGTAGATCCCTGTGAGTTCAAGGCCCAATTAGGATGGTCTCTTTGTCTCCTAAAACTCCCTAGCAAGTTCCAGGTCAGCTGGGGCTACATAGTGAGACCCTGTCTCAAAAAAATAAAAAACAAACAAATAAAATCAACCAATAAAAAGGCATATGGGGGCTGGAGAGATGGCTCAGCAGTTAAGAACACTTGACTGTTCTTGCAGAAGACCCGGGTTCGAATCCCAGCACCCACATGGCAGCTAACAACTGTCCATAACTCCAGTTCCAGAGTATCTGACAGCCTCTTCTGTCTTCCACGGGCATTGCATGACATGGGTGCACTTACCTACATGCAGGCAATACACACATACACATAAAATAAAAATAATAAAAAAAAATTTTTTTAAAAAGCATATGAAGTTAGGAAGGAAAAGTGATCAGGAAAAGGGGAGGTACTGAAGGGGTGGAAATAGAGGAGTGGATCTGATCATTTAATTTTTTTATTTTATGTGTATGAGTGTATTGCCTGCATGTATTTATGTAAGTGCACCTGTGTTATGCAGTGCCCATGGAGGTCAGAGGACGGCATCAGATCCCCTGGAATTGGAGTTACAGATGGCTGTTAGCCACCATATGGGTGCTAGAAATCGAACCCGGGTCCTCTGCAAGAACAGCCAGTGCGTTTAACTTCTGAGCCATCTCTCCAACCCCATCATTTGCTATTTTAAAATATTAAAATTAAATAAAAATTAAAGAATAACAAATAGCCAATAAATATATGAATAAAGATGTTCAACATTTTTAGCCATCAGGGAAATATAAAACTACATTTAGATTCCATCTTACCTGAGTCAGAATGACTATCATTAAGACAAAACAAATCCTGGCAGGGCTGGAGCAGTGGCTCAGCAGTTAAGAGCACTAGCTGTTCTTCCAGAGGAACTGGGTTCTATTCCCAGCACCCACATGGCTGCTAACAGCCATCTGTAACTACAGTTCCAGAGGATCCTAGCCCTCTTCTGACTTCCATGGGGATTACATGACACAGGTGCACTTACATACAGGCATAACACTCGCAGACATAAAATAAAAATAAAATACGTTTTTCCTGCCCGGCGTGGTGGTGCACGCCTTTAATCCCAGCACTCAGGAGGCAGAGGCAGGGGGATCTCTGTGAGTTCGAGGCCAGCCTGGTCTCCATGGTGAATCCAGGACAGCTAGGGCTACAGGGAGACCCTGTCTCAAAAAGACCAAAAAAAAATGTTATTTATTTATTTATTTATTTATTTATTTATTTATTTATTTATTTGTATGGGGCTTTTGGCTACTCTAACATTCCCTCCTCTGCTGAGGTATTCCTAAAATCTTTTAAGGATTAGATACAAGTTCCCTTTGTCAAAAATACTCTCAACATTTTTGGCCTTTGGAATAGAGTATGTTGCTAAGAGGCCCAAGGACATTTTGATTTTTAGCCAAGAAACTGGCTACTATAAAATATTTTTTAACTGCTGGCAAGGATGTAGATGGGAACACAATGTTGGTGGGAATGTAAATTAGTCCAGTCCTATGTAAATCAGTATGGAGTTTCCTCAAAACACTGAAAATAGAACTACTATATGGCAGAGGTACACCATTCCTGTGTGTGTACCTAAAGGAATCTAAATCAGCATGTAACAGAAAAGCCCGCATACCCATGCCCATCACAGCACTATTCATAATAGCCAAGGCAGGGAACAGTGTAGATGCCCTTCAGTGGAAGAATACACAAAGAAAATACAGTGGAATTTTATTTAGCCCTAAAGAACAGTAAACTCATGTCATTTGCAGGGAAATGGAGATCATCATGTTAAAGTGATGATAAGCCAGACTCAGTAAGACAAATATTGGGTGGTTTTGCTCATATGCGAAATCTAGATTTAAAGAGTGAAAAAAGATTTTTTAAAAAATAGGTTATTGTTGAGGAAGAAGAGAATGGAGCAGGGAGATTGGTTTGTAGGTAGAGCGGATATCATCAAAGCATGTTATATACACATATGAAACTCTTGCAATGAGTCCCGTTGTTTCATTCAGTGCATATGGAAGAGGAGTAGAGTTCTCCAACAATAGACTATGTTACAATCATGAAACAAGGTAAGTAAATGGGGTGTGGTTGTGCAATCACCATCCCAGCACTCAGGTGGCTGAGGAAGAAAGAAGGATCATGAGTTTAAGGCCAGCCTAGGCTACATGGCAAACCCTGTCTCCCCAAAAGAAAGAATGAAAGAAAAAGGTAATGAGAGAAAGGGAAGGGAGGAAGGAGGGAAGCAGCAACTTGTCAGGGTTGTGTTCAATAAAATATATTTAAAAGGTAGTCGGATGGTTCAGCAGGTGAAGGTGCTTGCCACCAAGCCTGACGACCTGAATTCATCCCTAGAACCCAGATGGTGGAAGAAGAGAAACAGCTTCTGCAACCAACTCTGACCTTCACACAGAAGCAGAACTCATACTACAGACTGGGGGTGGGGTTGTGGTAGCAGTTAAGAGGTAGATATAAATCTAGATTTTTTAAAAAATCTCTCCCTTAGCCGGGCATGGTGGTGCACGCCTTTAAGCCCAGCACTCGGGAGGCAGAGGCCAGTGGATCTCTGTGACATCAAGGCCAGCCTGGTCTACATAGTGAGTTCCAGGACAGCTGGGGCTACAGGGAGACCCTGTCTCAAAAAGACCAAAAAATAAAAAATATCTCCAGAAGAACCCACAAGAAACCACTTGCCAGTGTCCCTCCTGAGAAGGGAAGTAGGGAGAATAAGAAAGTCTTTGAATCTTTTAATCTGGAACCTTGTTAACATCACTACAAATTCAAACCTTAGTCCGGGGGGCTGGGGATGTAGCTCAGTGGTAAAGCACTCACAGGCCCTGGATTCCATCGCCAGCAATGAAAACAAACAAGCCACAGTAAAGGAAACTTTTTCCTGGTTTTTAGGAACGCACACTGGACAGGGCTCCCCCCGAGGCTCTTACCGGGATTCGCCAAGCTGGATCACATTCTGCCCAAATCCTCTTGCATTCTCTTGGAAGGCCATGGGATTTTCAGTGTCTAGATTGAACCCATGACATAAGGCCAGGACTGGAAGAACAAGAGAGTAAGAGTCAAGCAGAGGAACCAACACTGTTAAGAAAACAGCATGCAGGGCTGGAGAGATGGCTCAGCAGATAAGAGCACTGGCTGCTCCTGTCAGAGGACCCAGGTTTGGTTCCCAGCATCCACATGGTGGCTAACAACCATCTGTAACTCCAGTTCCAGGGGATCCGACGCTGGTCTTCTGGCCTCCACGGGTAGTGCACAACATGGGTGCACTTACATACATGCAGAGAAAACACATACAAAAAAAAGAAATAATAAATAAAAACAAGTTTATAAATATTTTATTTATTATTTTTATTTTATATGTACGAGTGTATTGCCTGCATGTAGGTAAGTGCACCCATATTGTGCAATGCCCGCGGAGGACAGAAGAGGCCATCGAATCCCCTGGAACTGGAGTTACAGACAGTTGTTAGCTGCCATGTGGGTGCTGGGATTCGAACCTGGGTCTTCTACAAGAACAACCAGTGTTCTCAACTGCTGAGCCATCTCTCCAGCCCCATAAAAACAATTTTTTAAAAAAGAAAAAGAATGCCTCTGTCCATGACCGCTCCTGACCAAACACCAAATTTCAGGATGTATTTTGAGACAGTGTTGTATATAAACCAACCTGGCCTGGAACACTGCTATGTAACTGGATGACTCAGGACTCTTGGTCCTTCTGCCTCCATTCTACCTCCCAAGTGCTGGGATTACAGGTGTGAATTACCTTGTCCCAGTTCAATACCTTTTTTCTACAGAGGCTCAGATAGTTAAATTAAGTGTGGCATACACACCTAAAACCCCAGTTTGGGGGCAGGGGGTAGGCTGTTTATTTTGTTTTGATTTTGAGACAGGAACTTATTATGTAGCCTTGGCTGGCCTGAAACTCGCTATGTAGACCAGGACAGGCTCAAACTCACAGAGATCCTCCTGCCTCTGTCTCCCAAGTGCTAGGACTAAAGATGTGCACCACAATGCCCAGATAACTACAAGAGGATTGCCCCAAGTTCGAGGCCGGTCGACACAGTGAATTCCAGACCAGCCAGGACTACATTGAAAGACCCTGTCTCAAAAGTAAGTGAGACTGAGAGCGAGAGATAGAGAGAATGAGTGCCAGACCATAAACACTTCAACCTGTGCAGGTCAACAGGCAAATAGAGCATGTTACGTGGGTGCCTAGATTACAGGATATCACAAGAAATGCATTCCTCTCTCTTTTCAAGGCAGGTTCTCATGTATCCTAGACTAGTCTTGAACTCCTTGTGCAGCCGAAGATGACTTCGAACTCTTGATTCTCCTCCACTTCCCAAGTGCTAGAATTACAGGTGTACACCGTGTCCAGTTTCTTTACTAGAGATGAAACCCAGGACTCCATACCTGCCGAGCGAACCCTCTACCAATGGAGCTACGCCCTCGGTCCCCATTTCTACCAAATTCTCATGAAGGAAATTCAAAATATAATTAATTACCACAATTTCTGTAACACAGGTTTACTATCTTTGAGGAGAGGCATTTTACTTAACTGGGATCAAAATTAGTGTCCTCTGTCATCAAAAGATGATAAACATCATCTTTGAAACAGGTGGTGGGCTACACACAACCCACATGCAAATTTGCTGACTCTTAGCTCAAGGGGTGGGTCTATCATGGGGTGCAGTCTGGCCTTCTATGAGTCTTCAAATGCCCTCTTCCCCTGCTGTCACAACCATAATGCTTTGCCCAATTATCACGTTCCTGCGGCCTTGCAAATTCCCCTTCCTATGTGCTTCTCAACCAGTTGCTTCCCTTCTTGACTCACCACAAAATAGACATACAAGGAAACAAACCCAAATCGATTTTTTGATTCAACAAACATTTATACCTGATCCTTACTAACTAGAGCTTAAGGCTAAGCAGTAATGGTGATGTGGAACCCAAAAGGAAACACTCCAGAAGGGGGTCAGCACCCTGACCTGGGCTTCCTGGTCCTGTCACTTCACCTCTCTGAGCCTCAGTTGCCTCATCTACGAAGTGAGTAGATGCCAAACAGCCTTGAGAAGCCAATGAATTTAGGCCCTCATCCAGGTTTCCATGCCCACCCTCTTCTCTAGCTCTAATCTCTGATTCTCCTTGAGTCTCTTATCCTCCCACAAAGCCCTGTGCCTCTCCCGACCTAATTCCTTCCTGTTCTGCCCCCTTTCCACTCACAGACCCAAAGTTCCCCTCCCCAAGACCCCAGAGTACCTGTTACCAGAAGAACTTTAAAAATCATGGCTGAAAGGAGCAAGAACCTGAAAGGCATGTGAACTGTGGGATCTCAGGCACCACAGAGTCACTTCAAGGAAGCCACCAGAGCCAGGAAGGGTAGAAAAAGAGAAGTAAGAGGCAGAAGCTCTGAGAGTTTCAAAGAAAGAGGGTGGAGGCTCTGCTTGGCCTTCCTCCTGGGACAGCCTGGTCTCCCTTGCCACCCCATTTCCTGGCCCAAGCTGTCAAGGTCATCATCCAAAAAGGTGTCATTTGACACTCATTTGCTTCTGGGGTAGACAAAAGTATTATGAAAAACAAGCTAAATAGTCTTAGATCTTGCATCCCAGTATGTGTGTTCCAAAGATTAATACAGACCATGGGGACACAGCCCTGCAATTCTGGCACTCAGGAGGATCACAGATTCCAGATGAACCTGGATTTACATGGCAAGACTTATCACCAAAAACAAAAAAAAGAAAACCCATTTCTCAAGAATTTTCACTTCTAAGACCTTATCTTTAGAAATAACGGAGTCAGGCCAGCAAGATGGCTAAGTGGGTAGAGGTGCTTGCTGCTAAACCTGACCTCCTAAATTCAATCCCCAGAGCCCAGCTGGTAGACGGAGAGAATCAACTCCTTTGAGTTGTCTGTGACGCCCCCACGTCCCTGCACACACTAAATAAATTAATAAAGTGTAAAATAAATAAATATTGATTGCTTTCTCCCTTGGCAGTTTGCACCTCCCAATACTGTGACAGCTAATCCTCAGGGAAGAGGATTCCAGGTCAGTTCCTGCTCAATTCTTCCAAGTCCTGTACCCAAAATGCCTTGTGTCCTCAGTCCTTCAAGTTCTGGGAGGCAACCAAGGGCAATAGCAATAACTTATACTGTTTGGGCAGTCTCTTGGACCACCATCGCTGACCAATTGAAGGGAGGTTTCCCATGCCTGACACTGGGGTTTTTGTTAAATGATGGCCCAGTAAGGTATCCCCAGTGGTACAATAGTGGGAATTTTAGGGGTAACCAACAGTTGTCTAATTGGACTTAAGGCCCTCACGATAGAAAGGAATTCATGTCTAGTACTGTAAACCTAGCCAAATATCATGGCTGGAGAGGTCATAGGCCCTAGAGGACAACCTACCACTGCCACCTTCCTAAACCAAGGTAGATTCTAACTGTATTCTAAATACTTATCCTAGTACCCACAGATAAGTGTAGCTCTGTCCCCTCATCAAAGAAGCTTCTTTTTGCAATAGTGGAGACTGTTACAGATATCCACAACTGATCCAAATGCAGAGAATAAGTGACTGTGGGGTGCCTATCCCCGATTAATATATCTACAATGCAGCCCCCACACCTAAGGCTCAGGGAACATCACAGAAGAAGGGCTGGAAAGATTGTAGGAACCAGAGGACCAGGACACCTGCTGCTAGGCAGTGTCTTCTAGACACAACAGGGAGGCTGCAGCCATGAAATCCCAGGCGACATGCCAAGGACGAGGGAAATGTCACAAGGTCCCACTCCTAAATGAAGAGCTATAGGGAATTGATGGACGCTAAAAGAGGGAGAATCAGTTTCCTCCAGGAAGAGCTCCCGGATAGCTTATCCAATCAGGTGGCCAAGCCCTAAACACAAGTACACACTGGCACTACTAAAGAAACTCCATGGGTTATATGTAACAATAATAATTAAGAAGAGATCAGGAAATTGAGAGGAAGTGAGGAGACATGGGAGAAGTTGGAGGGGGAAGAAAGGAGGGTTACAAGTTTCAGGCCAGTCTGAGCTCAAAAATGAGTCTAGGCAAGAAAGGGAGACCTTTTCACACACACACACACACACACACACACACACACATATATATACACACCCCTACGAAAACAACCAGACACAGGGGCTTATACTGATAATTCAAATGATTGAGTTGCTGAAGTGGGAAAAATCACTTAACCCAAAAGTTTGAGGTTGCCCTGGAAAACATAGCAAGACTGTCTCAAAAAGAAAACAATAATGAAAGAAAGAGCCAGTAAGTGAGATCAAAGATCTGGTTGTTCATTGCCTTCACTGGTTTTTTGGTTTGTTTTTTTTTGTTTGTTTGTTTGTTTTGTTTTTGTTTTTTGTGGTTTTTCTTTGGTCTTTTTGAGACAGGGTCTCCCTGTAGCCCCAGCTGTTCTGGATTCGCTATGGAGACCAGGTTGGCCTTGAACTCAACAGAGATCCACCTGGCTCTGCCTCCTGAGTGCTGGGATTAAAGGCATGCGCCACCACACCTGGCTGCCATCACTGTTTTTTAAAAATAAAAAACCAGCTGGGTATGTGGCACAGGCCTTTAATCCCAGCACTCGGGAGGCAGAGGCAGGCGGATCTCTGCGAGTTCAAGGCCAGCCTGGTCTCCATAGCGAGTTCCAGGCCAGCTGGGACTTAAAAAAAAACTAAACCTGAATACCCAACAATAGAGGAATGGTTAAATGTCTCACTCATATGCATCCTTCAACTCCACTGCGTATAAGAACTGCAAATGCTGCTGTCAAACATTTTTATCAAATATATAGAATACTAAATTATATTTTTGATGTCAATGATCTTCACTCTTTGGGGTTTTTTGTTTTTGTTTTGTTTTGCTGTATTTACGTTTATATGTTTAGTGTATGTATGTGTGTATATATGTGTGGATGTGTGTGCAAATATAGTGCATATATGTGTATGCATGTCTATATTTGTATGCATGTATGTGTATGTATGTATATTGGGTGTGGGGGGGGTGTATGTGGAGGTTAGAGCACAACTTGTGGGACTCAGTTCTTTCCTTCCACCATGTAAGTCTGGGGATCAAGCTCAGGTCATCAGGCTTGGTGGTAAGGACCTTTACCAGTGGAGTCATCTCACCAACCCTATTTTTTTTTTTTTGTCTTTTTGAGACAGGGTCTCTCTGTAGCCCCAGCTGTCCTGGAACTCACTATGTAGACCAGGCTGGCCTTGAACTCACAGAGATCCACCTGCCTCTGCCTCCCAAGTGCTGGGACTAAAGGCGTGCGCCACCACGCCCGGCTTTCAACCCTGTTTTTTTAAACAGGTTATCACTATGTTGCTCAGGCTGGTCTTGACTTCATGGATTCAAATGATCTACCTGCCTCAGCCTCCCAAGTGCTAGGACTCAGGCATGCACCACTACACCCAGCTTTCTTCTCTCTTTCTTGGAGCATTTTCTTTTGTTCCTAGTAAAGACTTTTTCAGTAAATGTCTGAAAATAAATGTTTGTATAGCCAGACAAGGTGGTGCACACCTTTAATCCCAGCACTTGGGAGGCAGAGGAAGGTGGATCTCTGGGAGATCGGGGCCAGCCTGGTCTACATAGTGAGTTCCAGGCCAACTAGGGCTACAGGGAGACCCTGACTCAGAAAAAAAAAGTGTAGATACATATGAAAATAAATGAATAAATGTTTGTGGGGCTGAAGATAGCTTGGCAGTTAAGAGCACTGGCAGCTCTTGTGGAGATTCAATTCTCAGCACCCAGATGGCAGCTAACAAGCATCTGTAACCCCAGTTCCAGAGGATCTAACACCGTCTTCTGGCCTCCACAGGCACTGAACACATGTGGTACACTTACTACATCGCTTAAGTAAATCAAAAAAACTTTAATAAAATAGCCAGGTATGGCAGGTTTAATCCCAGCACTCAGGAGGCAAAGGCAGGCAGGTCTCTGTGAAATGGAGGCCAGCCTGGTCTATATAGTGAGTTCCAGGCCAGCTGGAGCTACACGGAGACCCTGTCTCAAAAAAAACAAAAGAAAAATTAAAATTCTATATACATTGTTTCAAAGTTATCATTTAAAATATATGTGGATGGGGCTAAGGAGATGGCTCGGTCAATAAAGTACTGCTGCCCAAATATGAGGACCTGAGTTAGGACCCCAGCACCCATGTGAATCCTGGGCATGCCACTGCCTGCCTGTAACCCAGCATTTGGGGGCAGAAACAGGTGGATCCCTGGAGTACATTGGCCAGCCAGTCTAGACAATCTGTGAGCTCCAGATTTAGTGAGAGACCCTGTCTCAAAAACTAAGATGGAAAGGGCTGCAGAAATGGCTCAGTGGTTCAGAGCACTAACTGCTCTTGCAGAGGACCACGGTTAGATTCCCAGCACCCACATGGCAGCTGCAAATTGTCCTTAACTCCAGTTCCAGGGGAATCCAAAGCCCTCTCTGACCTCCGCGTCATTGCACGATACGGGTGCACTCACATACGTGCAGGCAATACACTCGTATACATAAAATAAAAATAATAAAATATTTTTTAAAATAAGATGGAAAATGATAGAGGAAGACACATAAAAAGTCATCCTCTGGCCTCTGCGTGCATGTCTACCCATGTGCATGTGCACCCAGATGCATATATGCATACACCCACACAAACACATACATACACCATATATACACATACACAAAAATTTTTTTCAAAATGTCATCCTCATCTTTATTTCTGGACTTGAGCATGTTGAGCATGTTTTCACAGACCAGTTTTATGTGTATAACTGTACCATCAAAAGCAATACAGTATCTTTTTAAATTCCTCATCAAGGTTAATTTCCCTTTCAAATAATTTCAAGTAGCAAAGTCGAACAATGTTTCCTTTCCACCTACTGGCCAGTGCAAGACTGGCAGTTATAATTAAGGTATCCAGGAAGCCTGAAGGTTATTTATGTCAGACAAATAAATTTATTTCCCTTTGTTAGAAAAGGAAAATAATTTTAATTCATAAATTACACATTTACACACATAAGCAAGTAATTTTAAATCCTATATTCATCTTAAATAAAGGACAACTGAAGAATTCAATGTATGGTGGCGCACATTTGTAATCTCAGCATTCACGAAGCTGAGGCAAGAGGATTGCCATGAGTTAAAGGACAGCCTGGACTATAGACTGAGACACTGTCTCAGAAACTACCCCTGTGGATGGCCCCACACCCAATCTTATATGGGCAGCATTAATTGAACTCAGGGAGTTATTAATAACAACCAAAAAAAAAAAAAAAAAAGAGGACATTAGCCGGGCTTGGTGGCGCACGCCTT